TTTTATTTATTTATTTTTCTTATTATGTCAAGTCCTTTTTAAAGTAATTAATATTATTTAGGTAATTTATTATATTTTCATATGCACTTCACACTCCAGTCCGGTAGGTAGCGGAAACGCGCCTTATGCCAATCTTCGTAAAACAGAAGAAACTCCAGCCGGAAGTTTACAAACTCTCATGTTACATACACGAGGGATTGTGAAATCGAAGTGTGAAAAACAGATTTACGACGTGTAAGGAGTAAATATAGGAGCAGCTGGAACAACGTGAAAACTAGACGCGTATAATGGTGGGAACACGTATATTATAGACAATTTCGGTTATAATTTGTTTTGCTCTCCGAAATGACATTTTCAGCATGTCTACAGTATCTGCGTTGACAGCAAAATAATTTTGTTATACTTATAAATAACAGCGGTGACGCAGAGCGCTGAAAATCGAGAGAAAATCTTTGTGTTTAGCAGATGTTAGTTTATCTGGTGAATTTATATAATGTCATCCTCAATGATAGTCCCAGTTATAGATGTACAGGGAAACAACTTTAAGGAGTTGTGGGCAGCAATGGTGATAGCCATTAAAACATCTTCATTCATCGCCATTGATACGGTAAGAAAAAGCACATTCTGTATTTAGAATCTCAACCGAATGTGAAAATTCAAGTGTAAAATTCTGAAATATAACAGTAATTCATGTATGCGGCCTCTTGTAGGAACTGAGTGGTCTTGGATCAAGGAAAGCTCTTCTAGCTGAGTGAGTTGTGTGAGTAAAACATTCTTATCCAATATCCTAAAGGACTGGAGATTTAACTTTTTTCTTTCCTTTCAAGATCCATTGAAGACAGGTACAAAGCCATATGCCATGCAGCTCGCACAAGGTCCATACTTTCATTGGGCTTTGCTTGTTATAAAAAGCTTGACAACAAAGTAAGTCTCTAACATGAACATTTATTTTATATTCTTATACAATTATTTAAATGGACATTTCATTGATTCTTGTTCATTTCCTGTTTCTAGGCGGACAGCACATACCTGGTCCAGGTTTACAATCTGACCTTGCTTTGTTCAGAGGAATACATCATTGAACCTCAGTCAGTGCAGTTCCTTGTACAACACGGATTTGACTTCAACAAACAATATGCTCAAGGCATTTCTTATTATAAGGGTAATGATAAAGTGAGTATGATTGAACCGGTAAGATCTATTCTATTCGGTCTATAGATCATTGTTTGCAGTGTATCACAATAATCATTTGTACAGCTGTATTTGCGCATCTTTTATTTGAAGAAGACATGATATGTGTGCATATACGGTGCTCATTCATGTTCGGAGCACGAGAGAATATTAAATATGTTCACATAAACATTAAACACGCTTGCTCCGGTCCAGATATGAACTATAATCCACGCATCAAGAGTTGTTAAATCCAGAAACAGCTCTCTCATGCGCGCTGCACGCCTTACATAGCCTATTAGCCTAAATATTGTTACGGTCGTGTTTACAGAAATGAACTGACAGCCCGAAGCTCTTTCATGAGACTTGAATTCTCCGCTGTAAGATGATCTCATGCATAATACAGCGCAGTGATTGGATCAATAAGAGTTCATTCTCATGAATAACACTGAAAAAAGCTCAGAAAACTGACGACGTAGACGTGTACTCTCCAGCCACGGCAGCCAATCACCGCTCCGAATTAACGCATATATGTCACGTTTCCTGAAGTTGGTTCAACTTTTTGCTTTTTGAACCAAAAGGAAATTGCTCCAAAAAATGAAAAAAATATCCACTTTTACCTTAATAATAGACATAATGAGTGCTAAAGTTGTTTTCACTGATGTGCAACCTGTTCATATATGTTAACATCTCAAAAAATGAGTTTTAGGGTTTCATGACACATTAAGTAGCTGTTTTTTTTTTTTTTTTTGTGCTTGTTTTAGGGAGGTGATGCCCATGGGGTAAACATGCGCTCCTTGTTCGTAGAACTGCTTAGGGCCAACAAGCCCTTAGTGGTCCATAATGGTCTGATAGACATGGTCTTCTTGTACCAATGCTTCTATGCCCATCTTCCTGATCGACTGGGCACCTTCATTGCCGATCTGTCCCAGATGTTTCCCTCAGGCATCTATGACACTAAGTATGCAACGGAGTATGAGCTGCGGTTTACAGCCTCATACTTGGAATATGCCTATAAGAAGTGGTATGTGGAATATCTCTGTCAAAAGTACAAAAAGTGTACATTTCTGTGCAGTGCCTAAAATTTCAGGTAATTTCTTTGTCCTCCACAGTAAGCTGGATAATAGCAAAGCCATTGCAGGAGGTGGCAATGGGAGTCATGTGTTCCTAGAGTTTTGTAAATATACAGGCAGCATGCAGAGCTACATAGACTACAGGCCGTGCTTGGACAACCAGAATCAGGATGGTGTCCTCAACATCTGTGTTCAGTTCTCTGTGAGTTCCTCCAGTTCAAAGTCAAGAGCTTTTGTTTGTTTTGTTTGTTTGACAGAAATAAGTTATGTTATTTTAGTTATTTTATATTATGAAAAAATTCTCTTTTAATTAAAGAATCCTGAAAATCCTGTATTGTGGTTTCCACAAAAGTATTAAGCAGCATAACTGTTTTCAATGATGATAATAAGAAATGTTTCTTGAGCAGTTTATCAGCATATTAAAATGATTTCTGAAGCATCATGTGACACTGAAGACTGGAGTATTGGCTGCTGAAAATGCAGCTTTGCCATCACAGGAATAAGTTACATTTTAAAATCAATTAAAATAGAAAACAGTAATTTTAAAATGTATTGTTTCACAGTATAACACAGTCGACTGATGCACCTAACATTAAAATACCAAAATATTTAAACATTTAATCCTCAAACTGATGTAGGATCAACAAAAAGGAAATATTTCTTTAATGGCATTTTTTTTTTACTATCAAGATCAATGTCTACTGTAAATATTGATAAATTATCAGATTAATAATTATCAGCATTTTTTAATAACATTTACAGAATTTTCTTCTGTATGAAACTTAATTTACAAAAAACCTTTAAAATAAATGTCGCATTTACCTTTAGTGATATTTCTGCCATCACTCCATCTGTGGTGTTTGAATGAGAGCTGTCTGTTACTTTTTTCCCCCACTTTGAAGCCTCAATTTGTCATGCAAAACAAATAAAACCACTAGTTGATAACGCCTGTCGTATTCTGTGAACATATATACATTTAATTCTAATTCTAATAGATCTCACTTTTTACTCACCCCTTTATGATTGTATTCCTTAGGCCTGAAGAGATGTTATACTCCAAAATACACAATTTTGTATGTGACACTCGGTAATTGTTTTCTGCTCTAGGCATATGGATGGTGTCCTAATGGCTCTCAGTGCTCCATGTCACATGACACAGACCTTATAATCCAGCATGATGAGAAGATCAGAGAAGACAAGAGGAAGAAGAGGAAGCGCAAGAACAAAAAGAAAGGTTCTCAAGGGCCCTCTGAGGCATGCAGTTCCCCGCAGGTCAAAAGGTCACACTTTGAAGAGACTGAGTTGGACCAGGCAGTGCCCATATCTGAACCAGCACTCACTGAACAGCAGAAGACAGCAAGTTCTGAGCCAACAGATGCCACACATGCGTTTGAACATGGGAAAGCAGCCAGCAAGAATGGAAATGAGGAATCTCAGCCAGAAGCATCTTCTGAAGCTCCCGTTAGACCAAAAGAGAAGAAAGCCGAAGGAGGAACTCACCGAGCAGGGTTTGACGCTTTCATGACCGGCTACATTTTTGCTTATGCCAGAAATCTGACAGAAAACACAGAAGAATCCAGCACTGCTCCCCTCATCCCTGCATGTCTCAATAAGCTCTTCCTCAGTGGCAAGTCTGTTCCTCTACATGTAGCCAAAAGCACCTTCTCCAAGTCTTCAAAGGCTCATGTGCACAAGATGGACTACGTCTGGGGAAAAAGCACTGCTGTAAAACCTGAAGGAACGGCATAGAAACCTTTGATTTTCAGATGTCAATTTTGTGTACATTTTTGGTCAAATAAAAATTTTTCTACGGTTTCCTCTCCATGGCTTGTCTGTTTTTCCTCTTCGGATTTATTTTAATCGAAATTAAGGCAAGCAAGACAGACATTACACTTTATAGATACTATGAAAGAACCTTTAAAAGCTTGGTTTAGGTCAAAGCAAAACCACAATAAAAATCAAGAAGACATTCTGAATTTATTTTAAACAAATGGGAATACACACATGCGTTTAAACAATTAAAGCCATATAAATGGGGAAAATAAGTCCTGATCTGTCTTTGGTAGAAATATACATCTCTGAATCCGTTACAAATCTACAATCTAAAAGTGTTGAAAAAACAGGACTGAAAAAGCAGAAAAACAGTTAAGAACAAACTAGCAAGAACTGACCATTGTCAACATGTACAGAAATCTCTTCATCAGTTCGTATAAACAACAACACAGTTTAAACAGTTCACAGACAGTAAAATTACTTTTTCTCCTCATAAATATCAAAATAAATCCTTTCTATAAAACAATCATGCCTTGGTTAAATTTATTGCATAGAAATGTAGTGACAATAGATTAAAAAAAAGTTCAAACCATTTAACTTATTTCAAGTACAATTACGATTTTAAGTAGATACAGACATGGACTTATTTTTTGAAGACCTGAGAGGTCAAAAAGTGAAAATGATCCTCGTTTTGAAATGACCATGGCACACACACCGTTAGCGTGGAACTAGCAAGAACTGACCATTGTCAACATGTACAGAAATCTCTATTCATCAGTTCGTATAAACAACAACACAGTTTAAACAGTTCACAGACAGTAAAATGACTTTTTCTCCTCATAAATATCAAAATAAATCCTTTCTATAAAACAATCATGCCTTGGTTAAATTTATTGCATAGAAATGTAGTGACAATAGATTAAAAAAAAGTTCAAACCATTTAACTTATTTCAAGTACAATTACGATTTTAAGTAGATACAGACATGGACTTATTTTTTGAAGACCTGAGAGGTCAAAAAGTGAAAATGATCCTCGTTTTGAAATGACCATGGCACACACACCGTTAGCGTGGGATCAAAACGGGCTTTTTAAGATGCGAGACGACATGGAATGTTTGCTGCATATTTTCTAGGCCCATGCAGTGCAAAAAACACCTTTCTCCAAAGACATTTGTTCTTCTATAAATTCTATAATTACACATGTAGAAACTGGATACAGTTTGTGGACAAAAAAAAACAGCATATGTGGTATGTGCAACCAATAGCATGTATTACAAAGAAAAAAAATATCACAGAAAGTGTCTCATCATTAGCTCTGTGTAAGGTGACGTCCAATGCATCTTCCCACTGTTGAAGTTCTTCATAGTGTGATGGGTAACTACTACCGCATGGACCGGATCAGTGTTTCACACCTCTGTTTCCTGCTCAATCCAAGCCGCCCTTTTAGCTTAAGTTACATGGGTTTACTTCCCCCAAAGAAAAAAATATATACAACTTATAATCATATTAAATATTTAATGAATATAATCTCTGTTCGCGTGGCATCTGATCAGTTCAGTCCTCAACCAGGCTGGCGTGTGCCCTTCAACCATCTAGATATCACATCTGGAGATGCGTTCTGAAGATGTGGCTTTGCAGGCGGTGAGGACTATCGGACAGAGTTCCTGTGGCTCTACAGACATGCTCAGCGTGAGCGAGTTCTTGTTGGAGATCATCAAGCCATCCTGGTCTTCAGCCTCCATGTCCTCGCATAAGCCACCGAGGCTTCTGTTCTGTATCTGGCTGAGGATTGTGTCCTTATCGTCTGCAGGGCTTCCTCTGCTGCTGGAGCAGTCCATGGCCTCCGCTTCTCCTCCTTCAGAGGGTACCAGAGACGACCAGTCCTCTGCAGCTCCCACTTCCTCCTGTCTTTCGGCTCGCGGTTTGTACGGAGGGATCTCAGTAACAGCGTACTTCTTAGCCCAGCTGCTCAATGCTTTTTGCTTGCTTTCACCGCCGGGCTGTCCAGCCTCGCTTTTGGACGTGGGGTGAGATGAGAAGAAGACATCCGAGTGGGGCAGCTTGGGAGAGACGGGGAGCGAGTGGCACTGGCGACCTGGCAGCTGCCAGGTCTCTGGCCAGGATGGGGTGCAGTTGTTTCCGGAGGCTCCCGTGCTGATGTTGGGATGAGGCTGGTATGAGCTTTGACTGCCGTGAGGTGAATGCAAATCAAACATGAGCGAGAAGACAGACTTGCTGGGCATGTCGTAAAACTTGATCTTGCCACCTTTTAAGTCCTCTCTGGCACTGAAAGGGTTGACTTTCGGTTGCCCGTGTATGAAGCCCCTAGGTCCTGGGTTGTAGTAAGGGTCCTGGACGTTCACTTTGCGAGCAGGCTTACGAGAGAAAATGTCAGACTGGCTACGGGAAAGCCAGATGTTTCGACGTGGACGGGGGGACTTGGGTGGAATCTTGTCATCCTGAAAAACAAGAGGATTTAACCTCTTTATACCCTTTTCACCTGGACCTAGAACAACAATAAGAGGCATTAGGCACATTGGGTAACATTATCTAACTGAGATTAATAAATGCTTTACAAGTATTGTTCATTGTTAATAGTCATTTCTATACGAATACATTTTAACTCGATATAAATTAACCTTCACTACCCTTCCAAAGTTTGGGGTCAGTAATTATTATTCTTTTTTATTAAAATTAATACTTTCATTCAGCAAGGATGCATTAAATTGATCAACAGTGACATTTCAAATGATACAAAAGATTTTAGTAGTGGGGTTGTGCAATTAATCGAAAAACAGTTTCGATTTCGGCCTCCAACGATTATGAAAATACAATAATCGAGATAAAACGATTATTGCGCTCCATTCCGCCCCCTTTTCCAGCGCTGCGCGTTCGTTCCTCCATAAAAGCCCAATTTCACGTGCAAATCAGTAAAATCAGGTAACGTGACACTTGCAAAATGGGACGTGCTTGATTTATATAAGTATATTTATTCATGTTTTTAAAAGCGTGAAAGAGAACTTGCGCTGCACCTCAGGAAGATATATGCGCTCAGAGACGGAGCAGAACACGGACATCTTTTAGCTCAAGCTGCGCGCCTAAATGGTAAAATACATGCAAAAATGTGTTAAAATGCGACGCTTAGTGATTATTCATGTATACCTTTGTCGGTCATGTAATTAATGAATGTAAAGAGTTGAGAATGAAAATACGTCTGTAACAGTAAATTGGATCCGTGCGGCTCTTAAAGTGACAGTGGGCTAATATTCCTGCTCAGCTGCACTGTGTGCCAAAGGAAGTTTAATTCCTACAGTGAAGACTATGCTGTTTTATTTTACATTTCATTTCTGTAGTAGGCTGTAAACTGCTTGAGACTTGCATAAAAAAAAAAGATTAAAGCACAGTTTGTTTCATTTGTATCTTTTTATTCTGTTGTATTTGTCCTTTGCTTTTTTATTACTGACAGTTTAATTGTTTTCAATAATTTTGAGGACTTTTTGTTTGCTTATTTGTCACTAATAGGCTAGTTGCCTTCATACTCTGCTGTGGTATTGAGAATTGTGAAATTTCGCTGGTCTCTACAATGTAGATGTCATATCAACCTTATTTACAGGAAATATATTTGATATGTATCACTATCTTTAAATAAATCACTCATATAAAGTTTTGGTCATATGGCCCCCTCATAATCATGTTAAATAATCGTGATTACAATATTGACCAAAATAATCGTGATTATGATTTTTGCCATAATCGAGCAGCCCTAGATTTTAGTGCAAATAAACGCGGTTCTCTGTTCTTACCTGAAAATAGTAAAAACCGTTTCCACAAAAATATGAAAACGACAACTGTTTTCAATATTGATAATAAGTAATGTTTCTTAAGCAGCAAATCAGCATATTATAATGATTTCTGAAGTCACACTGAAGACTGGAGTAATGATGCTGAAAATTAAGCTTTACCATCACAGGAATAAATTACATTTTAAAATATATTAGCATAGAGAGTTATTTTAAATCGTAACAACATTTTACGATATTACTGTTTTTACTGTATTTTTGATCAAATAAATAAAGCCTGGTGAGCATAAGAGACTTTTCAAAAACATGGAAAAAAATCTTATTGACCCCCAAACCTTTGGAATGGTATGGTATATTAATAAATACTGTAAGAACAGATAAATATACCAAATGCATTACCTAATATACTGATATTTATTAATTCACTTGACAAGTGTAAACACTGTAGCACTATCAAAACATTGCTGTGTTAGTCTGAGCATATTGACCAGAGCCTGATATAACAACACTGGCTCAACCAATGGAGTGAGTTTGGAGTGTGTTGACCAATGGTAGATGCAAGAAATGTTCCGAAAACCTGTTTAAAAACAATATTTTTGCTAGTCACCAAATAGTATTGACTATTGACACTTTTAAGCCTGAAAGAATTATCTTGAACACTAGGGGGTGACAAAATCTAATATTCATTTGAATATGCGGAAGGCAAAGCCCTTAATCATGTTTAACATCCCAAAACTCAAAAGCACAAAGCACTGAGAAAAAGAAAAGAAAAAATACAGTACATGAAGTGCAAAACACGCCTATATGCATTTAAACGCTTCAGAAACTGAGCATTACAAGGTTGGCAGTTTAAAAGTTTTGGGTATAGAAATTTTATCAATTTATAATAACAGTTTTATATTTTAATATATATATATATATTTTAAATGTTATTATGGTATACATAATTTAGTCCTGTAATGTACTAAATGGTTTATTTCCCGCAGTCATTACTCCAGTGTTCAGTGCCACACGATCCTTCAGAAATCATGCAAACATGCTGATTTAAAGGAACACTCCACTATTTTTGAAAATAGGCTCATTTTCCAACTCCCCTAGAGTTAAACAGTTGAGTTTTACCGTTTTTGAATCCATTCAGCCGATCTCCGGGTCTGGCGGTAGCACTTTTAGCTGCAGCTTAGCATAGATCATTGAATCTGATTAGACCGTTAGCATCTCGCTCAAAAATGACCAAAGAG